TGTCCGCAATCTATGTCGACCAACTCAAACCTTGGGAAGAAACGACCGATGATCGGAAGCGTCTCGTCGCTAACATAGTGGCTCTTGGTGCCTCGAATGAAGAGCGCTCTCTTGCTGAACGACGTCTCGTCCGGGTTGGTGAAGGGGAAGTCTGCCATATTGTCGAGCGCCTTGGTGAGAATGCTCACAGGTATGCGGAACTTGAGTGGTGCGCCCGGTTCGCCTCTCATGAGGTTAGTCAAAAGGAACTGGCGAACTGGAAGGTCCATTGCGTAGGGCTCCATAAGCTTATCGGCCTCTTTTTGACTCTTAGGCTGTGACTTCTCGACGTGCTGCATGCCTTCTGCGTACTTTGGGAAGTCGCTCGATAAAGCCGCATCGACTGGTGCATTGTCCACGGGTATGATGTTGGCGCAGCAGTCTGGGTTCCTGAGAGCCATGGTCATGACTGCCTTTGCTCCCATCGAGTGTCCTATGAGCGTCGCATTCTTCAGCTCGTGCTTCTCGAGGAAGGTCTCTACGTCTTCGGCGAGTGCGGTGTAGTTGTGGACCTTATCGTGCGGGGATTCGCCGTGGTTTCGTGTATCGATGGCATATACGGGCCGCTTGAGGACGCGCGCAAGTGCACTGGAAGCGTGGTGTTAGTCACAATCCAGAAAAAAAGGTCCCAAAGGAGAGTCCTACTTTCCAACACCCTGGTTGTTCCTCTTGCTTCCGAACAAGCCATGTACAATTACAATCGGATCTCCATCGGCCTTGCCAGAGTCATCATGAAGCCGGTACGCAAGGTCGACGACTCTCAAATTCGCCGATGCGTGAAATGACCGCGTCCATGTCGGCGCTAGAGTCGCATTCGAAATCCGAATGAGATTGCTATGTTTTGGAAGAGTAAAAGCTGCCGAGAGAGGTTGTATGCTTCTGGTTAAGACGCGCATGTTGAAAAGTTGACGATCGTGAATTTCGGAAAGCTTCCGAACTTTTTGTTTCGCCAAGCCGAACGTCATGCCGCATCTTGCCGGTCTGGAGCATCTCCTTATTGCTTCCACCCAGCAATCTCATTACTCTTTGCTTGCATTGGACAGTGTTTGTCGAACCCGTCTTTAAATCAGGCGTGAGCGCAGATTAGCGTAAGGCAGCCGTATAAGATGGGAGCCGACCATCGGTCTTGCGCAACGCTCAAGGGCTTGTGCAATGTGCTTCCAGTCTTGAGAATGACCGATAATATTCATGGACTCAACATTAGTATGTGTTGCTTTGCAGACTCGAAACTAGGTCCCCCCCGATCAATGAGGTATGCAATCACTCTGCATGCAATGATAAGTTGGCTAAACAGAAGATCTTGATATTATTCATTAAATCTATAAAACACAGCTGAGCTACTGAAAACCGAGAAAGTACCAAACCGCTCAAATGAGATCTATGTGCATACGCCTCCAACTGTCTCAATAGTCTTTGACATGCACAACAACTTTCCCCTTCGCCCTCCCGGTCTTCAGCTTCTCATAAGCTTTCGGTAGTTCGGAGAACTCCCAAGTCGAGTCGATAATCGCACGGAGCTTGCCTTGCTCCATATATGCCGCAAGCTGCTCAAACGTTGCAGTGCTCGCATTACCGGCGACGAAAATGTACTCCCTCTTCCCCCAGCTGAGGAAACTAGACAATTTGTTGCTGATAAATTGCACTGCGGCGCTGAAGTTCATACCAATACCTACTTGGATGAACTTGCCCTCTGGTCGTAAGAACGCGCTCGACACCCGATATAAGTCTGCTGGTGCTCCCACGTTATCAACAACCAGGTCGAAAATCGTCCCGTTGTCTTTTAGTTGTTGGACGACCGGGCCTGTCGTGTAATCTATCACCTCATCTGCTCCCAAGCTCTTGACTAAATCGATATTCTTCGTGGAACAAGAGACAGTGACATGGTAACCGAGTATCTTCGCGAGTTGTATCGCATTCGTACCAGTACCTCCGGAACCGCCGTTTATGAAGACTTTATTGCCGGGTTTAGCATAGGGTTCCAGCGCGGCGTATACTGTCATGGCCACACTCGCAATGGATACGATGTCGTCGCCTTTCAGACCCTGCGGTACTTTTGCTAACAGATTCTGTGGTACAGGAAGGTACTCTGCCAGTGCGCCATGTTTGCCTCCTGGAGCAAGGCCTCCGTATACTATATCGCCTTCCTTGAAGCTTGTGACACTGCTACCGACTTTTGCAACACGACCATAGACGTCTAGGCCTGGAGTGATACCGGAGAAGACCAAGCGCGCTACGATAGGAAGTTCAAGAATCTTGTAGTCGATTGGATTGAGGGCTGTCGCATGGCTCTCCACAAGAACTTCGTCTTTCTTGATGGATGGAATTGGGATGCCAGAAGACGGGATTGAAAGGTTCTTCTCCATTGGTCCGGATCCGGAGTTGAATTGCCATCCGCGCATTGTGGTCGCCATTTGGAAGGTTTGAGCAATGATGTGTAGTTGAGATGGTGTAGAGGATAATAATTATAGGTTGAAGTCTGACTGAGAGATATTAAAATGTATGTGAGTTGTATGATCAGAATGTGTTTGCTGTATGTGAGTGATGATGATGATGATGATGTGGTGCAAGAACGATGATGCTACTATTGTATATATACTGGGTTGCACACTACCATGCAGGCATTTTCGCCCTCGTAGCATAGAGTTTGGAGGATCATAGCCTCGCGTGGAGTGGCAGAAGCGAGCAGGGCGAGCTTGGTCATCCCCATGATTGTCAACTAAAAAGGCGTCAAGCACCGAAGCCGAGCGACGATAAGATGGAGATTGCGATAACAGCTGCTGCAAGTAAGCAGCCTCGTCGTCGGGCGCTCGCGAGAGCGAGGGGAAGTCTCACGTAAGACCAACGGTGACAAATGGTCAATGCTGATAACGCTAGCCGAATCCGGCTAGAGACGGACAAATGCGGGGTTTGCGTCTGTCCGAGTAGTGTCTGGGTAGGTATCACACGAATGCAAAGGAAGATTGCACGACCCTTCGGTCAAATCTAATGCTCAGTTTCAGAACAGGTCCGTGAGAATTCTCCATCAATGAAAGAATGATGAAAGGTGAATGTTGGTGCAGGTGGCTACGTAGCGTCCTATCACTATAGCGCTCAACACTGCCCGCCTACGCAGACCAAGAAGGCTGAGCAAGCCACATCAAGGAGCTTGTCCAACCTTTCGCCTCAGAAGACTTCTTTCATTCTAACCTTGCCCCGCGATCATGCAAGACCACAGGACACTCACGTTTCGAGAGGTCCATGGAAGCAGTGAAGCTCTTCTTGCCGCAGTCGAAGAGGTTGAGCGCATTGCACTAATAGAAAGCAATGACACAAGCCCATTATGTTTTCATCTACTAGAATTCTACCCGCGAGGCGGATCAGAGTATGATTTCATCCTCACGCCCACTCATGACTACGAAAGGAGTGCGTTGAGCAATTACCTTACGGTGTCTTATGTATGGGCGCACGAACAGCCTCTTGACGGAATACAGATACCCGCTTTTCGCATTTAGGACGGTACCGATCTACAAAAGCCCCCTAGACCCCTCAGGAACCCTTCAGTCGTCTTCCATCGTGTCGTACAGTTTGCTCGATCTCAAAACATCCGGCGAATTTGGCTAGATCAAGAGTGCATCAATCAAGAAGATCCGACTGACATAGAAACACATCTGCAAGACATGAACAGGATTTATCAATTCAGTCGACTAACCGTGGCTGTGCTCTCTAGAGCTGTTGAAAACTGGGCGATGGCGGTGAGATGTTTAAATCTTGAATGGACCAGCGACGAGCAAGATTTCGAATTGCTGCAATATATGACTCAAGGCCCGTGGTTCACTAGATCCTGGTGAGATATATATGCACCATTTCATCTACAAAGAAGAATGATTTTGTTGACTCTCGTCAGGACGTTCCATGAACAACAATGCGCCGACGATGTCGTTTACTTGCTGCCTATACAACCATCACTAAAGAGCAGGCTTGCTGAATTTGCACCACACGTGATTTTCGGTCATGATGCCGTTATAGACCATTGTATGGTGTATTATCGCCTTACTTCGCCAACGAAGCATGACAAAAACGACCCACTGCTCCAGTCATACTTCTGCTCAAGGCAACTGGATGTCTGAGAACATTCCTGGTACTATGGACACCGTTTACAAGAAGATATAGGGACGTCATAATCGTGTTCTATCAGATCGCATCCAAATTCTAGCCAATGTCTGCAGTCTTCAGTGGAAGCTCAAGACAACGTTGCTGAACAACCCGGCGCTGAGTTTCAGCACATCGCTCTTGGTTTTGGTCATGGCAAATACATGGCCAGATCTGGTCGCTCGAGCGCACCAATACCAAGAGCTGGAACACTACCTTATGGAGAAAAGCATTGGGATGCTTATGCAAGAAGTAACTCGCAAGAAGTATGCACAAGACTTTGCTGCAATTGCATGGCCTTTAGGTCTAGGTCTCATATCGGATTCAAATATTTGGATATTCGTATCCCTTGTTTCGAATATCTCAAATGGGTTTGGTACTCAAGGAGGAAAGCTGCATAGCTCGGAGTAATCCTTAATCTGTTCAAAGGATCAATGCGCATGGGACTCGTATACCGAGACGGGACGCCCCCAGTTATCTGTCAACAGAAATGGTCCACGCCAGTAGATTATGTCACCACGACGTCTGTATCGACAAGAGCTACCGTTATCCCGATCTCAATCCTCGCTGGGAAGACATCAGTATTATTTCTTCTGTCTTAGTCAGAGCGCAGTCTTACTAGTAATCATTAGGGAACTCGTCGCTTAAGAACTCTTGGTCGCAGCAGCGATGTAGAGGTACTTACCCTCTGAACTGCACTGTCGGCGTCTGAAAGTTCTGCATCACTGATTCTAAGTGGATGACAATTGAGAGCATACCGTATGGGATATGATTGATTTGTTCGAAAGGCGAAAGTCAGCTTAAAGGAAGTTGACGAGTCGGCCATGTCAGGCTTATTTGCGCTTGAAGATGAATCGGATGTATCTCATAACAAAACCCTTCATTTTTCCAACCCTTAGATGGTTGTCTGAAAGAGTTGTTTCGCTGATAGTGGGTGGGAGCAAATCAGCCTGATCAAGGTCTGAAAGAGTTGTTTCGTATATAGCGGGTGGGAGCAAATTAGGCTGATCAAGGTCAGACCATTTGAATCCGCGTACAGCAGTGAGGTCATAGGGGGTCGTAGAAGGGTCCAGAGATCCCAGATTGGGGTAACGGCTGTCGTACTGAGAACGTCCGCCCATTGATTCGAGGCTCACACGTCGGGACACGGTACGAGACCGTGCTTTGTAAGAATCCCTGACTCTCTCTACATCTACTCGGTGTTCGTGGTACTTCTTTATATAGGATTCGTATGCCCAGCGTTCGGTACGAAGTTTACTGTCGAGACCATCGACGCTGATCTGCCAGGCCAAGTATGACAACAGAATGCCAATCGGTGCATCCATGAGGTCATTTGACAACTCCTTGTATTTCATCTGTCGTTTCTCCCGATCGGGCCATACGTTTGCGAATATCAAAACCACCAGACATGTGCTATAACCATATTGAGAATGATTCAGCTTTGTCGATGCTAGCCTAAAGGGAAGATCGCAGATGTTCGCTAGGATTGCAAGGCGGTCTGCTAGCACAGAATTCTCACACTGTTCCATTTGCTCGTATATGTCGACAATGCTTTCGAGTACCAATCTCCTAGGTGCTGGCCTCGATCTGTTGTTATCCATGTGGTTCATCATCTTTACCTGCTTCTCTACTGACACTGCGGAGGTGATAGAGCTCCACCCAGCGATGGTCCACATCCTTGCTATGTCAATACATAGGTCTTCGTAATCAGTCGAGTCCACAGACGTACAAACCGTCAGGGGGAGCAGGAATTCTAGATGCTCTGCACTCAGCTTTTCTTGGAACGCCCATGTGCGAGAAAACCATCTATCATCCGAGACATCGCAAAACCAACTTTGGAAGACAGCGTCCTGGGCAGATTGATCTGTCGTCTCGTATGAAGTGGGATTCAGTGATGATTTGAAGTAGCGAGCGGTTGGCAAGTCGATTGTGCCACTGGTAGTAGCTAAAACGGCAATCGTGACCTTGCTGTTGGAATAAATGCGATGCATAACCTGCAAATGTCTTTCAACATCGATAGGATCATCTTGATGTATACACTCTTGATCTATCCATACGTATGTAAAGCCTCGCGCATGCGCATATTGCATGGCTCTATGAAAGACTATGGGCGGACAATGCGGTGGTCGTGGAACCGCTTCAGCCTTGGAAAGATCTCTGACCCGATAATCCGGAATTGTCTGGCCATTCAAAGACTGCTCGTGGAGCCATGTATACGAAACAGCTACATAGACACTCCCAGTTCGATGTGTACTGGTATCTGTAATGATGTAGTCGTGGCCGGTTTTGCTATCAGGGCATGGCGTAATGAATCGGAGGCTGATAGGCAGATGGAAAGGTCGTTCGATGAGGGCAGCGCGTTCAATTTCGTCGACGGCAGCCAAAAATGCGTCCTCGCTTCCGTGAATCTCCCGAAAATTCAGATCCGTATCTTTCTGCATCATCGGGTGGTGTGTAGACAGGAAGGTGCGCAGGCGGCAAGGTCTGAGGTCTTGTGCGCCTATTCTTACTCAGCCCCCAAATCTGCGTGTCGTTCTCAGCCCCGCACGGGACTGGACGCCACGCCAATGTTCAGATTACATACCAAAGCTTTCGAGTCAGGACATTCTCGTTCATCATGACCTATTGATAACCTATGAATTCATTCAGGAAATGAGATCGTGGAGCCCGCACATGGCGATACACGTCGATGTTCTGGAGTCAGACTATTTGGTCACCGATCCTTGAATGAATACTCAATTTCGGAAACATGCTGCTATATCAAATGCGTATGTACACATGTAGGAAATCCATTGAAGTAAACCAGATCCGTTGGCGCCGGCGCAAAACAAAGGTATAAGATAACAAACTTCTAGGGCTTGACATAGCCTCATCATTATTGTCTCCCGAGATCTTCAGCTGAAATTCACTCTTCGTGAGACATGGTACTCATTTCTTGGTCAGAATACCACTCAGCGCACCTTCGGCAGCCTTCTTCAGCAACTCCCGATCCTCGTCGCTCATATGATCCACCTTCTCCACAAGCAACTTCTTCAAGAACATGTTCTCTTTCTTTAACCCATCATTCTCAGCTTCGAGCTTCTTGGTTCGGTCTTGCATTTCGCGACTGGTCTCCATGAGTTGCATCTCGCGCTGCTTTTTCTTCTGACGGAAACGTGCGGATGCAGCTTGGTTGCGTTTTCGCTTATCTTCTTCCGCCTCGACGACAATTGGATCGTTGAGGAGACTTGCGTGGGTGGGGTCGGGTGATGTGGCTGAAGATGTGGATGTCGCGTTGCTGTCGGGGTATGGCGTGCGATAGGCGTTGATGCTAAAGCTCTGCGTAACGGGGGAGAAGCCCTGGAGATCATCGAAGCCAATCTGAAGTGTAGAGTCGTGCTCGAAATGTTGCGGGATGTGTCCGGTCATGGTCGGCATTGTGGGCGAGGTGTATTGCAGGCCTCGAGATGATGTTAGTGACCATGGTATGCGGGGAACAGAAAACAACACAGAATATGCGGTGATCGCTGCGTATTTGATCGATGGAAACCCTCGATGCAACAACAGGCGTCTGTGCACAACTTGCATACACACCTCCCTAGGCGGGTATGCAGTCGTCGCAAGTCCCGTCGCCGCGATTGATCACGTGCAGCTAGCGAGAGCACGCCATTCCATCCTGAACAAACGTCATCAAGTCCCGACAACTCAGAGACACGGGAATTACGTCCACAGGCAGCAAATGGGCCTAATGGGAGGTACAAAGAACCCGTTGAGGATGAAGTACATAGGATATAATGAAATGAAGATAAATAGAGGGGTCGCGCTTACCTGGAGCCGACACACCGCTGGCGTGCAATGCATATGCAAAGTGCTGATTTTGCGCGATATCATTTTGGGTAGGAATTTGCAGTGGTTGTAAGTGCTGTCCACCGGGATGATATTCGTGATCGTGATAGAGATTGGCGGCGTCGAGAATGTCGAAGAGATCATGTCCAGAGGAACTCCCACTCGCATGTCCATCGGTGAAGGTCGGCTGCCCAAAAGCTTGCTGACGATAAGTTTCCGACATTACTCTCCATCGGCAACATGCGTTCTCGCGCAATCGCGTCTTTCCTTTTATCGGTCGTGTTCTGATCGTCAGTCTCAAGGTCTGGGTGTATGTTCGTTGTTGAGCTTCGCGCCGGCCTTTTTGGGGGTCGAGGATTGACGTTCCTCCCTGCAGGAGCGGCGATGGTGTGCCGCCCTATAAGAACCACACAAATGCCCACCGTCATGCGCTTGTGGGCAGCGCACCCCACTGCAAGAATCGCCTTCTGGCAGCCATGGAAATGGCGATCGCGTCTGATTGCGCCATATTTCTGATACGATTGCCAAAGCCCTCCACGCTTTTACCTAAATCGCGCCGCAGAAAAGCGTCGAATTGCAGTGCGCAATATTCCCGGGCTCACCTCGCGTGCCCAGACTCATGACGACCGGTGCTTCGGTGGGGCGGGTAATGCATGAGGCGTCAGTGGGTTGCAGTGAGCTCGCAGCGATGTTCAACCCGGGGCGTTGGGCAAGGTCCAGGCTTCGTACAACACAGTCCTGTTTTGCTTTTCGTCGACGCACTACGGTCGGCAGTCTCTGCGGCACATTGTTTGTTTCTGTCCTGTCTCTTCTTGTTCTACGATGTGTGTGAGACATTGGTCGATGTATGTCCGAGTAGCGAGCACATAGCTGTGTCAGATGTGTCGTCAACACACAATGTCTGCGCTGTTTGCAGTCGTAAGAGTATTAAAGGGTATCGCCAGGCTGTTCCGATATTGGTATAGATCGTTTGCGCCATACGAAGAACTGGGAAGACAACATATATCCCAATATGAAGACCCAGACACACTATGCGAAACTCGGGCTGGCCCCGAATGCGCCTCGGGAAGTGATATTAGCAGCGTACAAAGCGCTGGCGTTGAAATACCATCCCGAGAAGACCCTTGAGCTAACTGCGGCTGAACGTGCTGCGCATGCCACGGCGTTTAGTGATCTTCAAGAGGCGTTTGACGTGTTGCATGACGATGTCCATAAGGCCGCCTACGATGCTGCACTGGCCAGGGATGAAAATGAAATCGCTGAGGAAGTGTCTGCCTTCCAATATCATGCACAGCCTATGCTCACAATACAAGAACGGTACAGCTCGATGCGTGCCTGCGCACGTCAACAACTTGAACATTGGAGAGTTCTACGCGAGAAGCGACAGGTGGCGGGGGCATGTTTGAGCGTGGCTGACCTTGAGAGCCTAGTGAAGGTCTGGGAGGATCTCGAGAACGAAAACACAACCGATCCCCCGATGAAGGCTCGTTGTGCTATTCTTGCTCACGAATACTCGGTGGAGATCGATACTCGCAGGCGGAACTATGAAGACTCATTGGAGAAGGCGTCAAGATCTGGTCGCACACCAATGATACTCACAACGCCGGTCGCTGTGAATCATTATCCAGTGACGACAAACGCGCCCACGGAATCTACCACGGCCGTACCTGCACCGTCGCCGAAGACATCGGACGTGGCCGCACGATGTACCCACTCTGACATCTCGCTTACGCCTACGCCATTTTCTCGCTTGAAGGCGCGAGCCGACGAGCGTAAAAGGGCCGAAGAAAAGCGGGCTGAGGAAGCTAAGGCCCGAGCCAAAGCACGCAAGGGAAGAAAAGCTCAAATCGAGGTAGCCAAGCAAATCCAGCTTGAAGAAAAGGCTGCCTTTGTCCGCGCCGAGAAGGAGAAGCAGAAAGCGATGGCTGAGGACCGAGCCCGTCTGAAGGCTAAACATATCGTAAAAGTTCGAGCCAAAGTGCGTGGAGCGCCGATTGGCATTGATACGGTCGATGATGACTTTATCGTTTCTGAGGTACAAGAGGAGTCGTTGTCGCATGGGATTGATGCCTCCAACGAAGGCATGCAGGGAGAACCCAAGCTGTAAGCAGACAGATGTTCTGGTAAGTATGACCTCAAACATAAGCACTGCCGTAGGTAGATGCACTAAAGATTGCAAACAATAACGCTTGATGCAAACGCATCAAAGCAGTTTGGGTGAGCAGATTGCAATGAGCTATACCGTGTATCGCATAGTGACGCGTATGCCATGGACGTGATTCTCCCAACCTCGTCTCTAATCCATAAATTAGTCAATGCGAACAACGTCCACATAGATAGGCTCACCTTGGCTCTCGCCCACACACAGATCCAATCACCATGTTTCAGCGAATCGATGAAATCGTCGCCACGGCCAGCACCTTCGTTGCCTTCCCATATTGGATTATCCTTACAACCCCAGACAACGCGGTACCGGCGAATGTAATCGCCTTCGAAGATCGAAACAGCTCTTGCGACCTCGTTCCCTTGCAAGTACCAAGCGTGTTGTCCTTCGATACCCATGGGGCGTGAAGGATCGTCATGCAAGAACGTCATGGCCTGCATCTCATCGCAGTGCAACCTCTGCGGCTCTGTTGTCGAAGAAGGGCGCAGCGCATTTCTGAAGCCAACGTTACCGCACATATCATCTATCACGGTGTGGATGTTGCTTTTTGGATAATCGTGGTCGTCGAAGCTATCAGCGACCATATTATTTATCATGTGGTCCTGCGGAGAAGACGGGCGCACGATGGACACCTCAAACCAAGACGAGGTGTTGAACGTGCCAATCGTATCTTCTGTAGTCCAACCTTGGTCGTGACTGACGATTAAGAACTCGATCTCTCGGAGTTTGCTTGTTTCGCGATGCGCGATTTCGGGCCTGTCAATTACTATCCTCAACATGGGCAGCGCAGCGGAGAAATCGTCGGAGAACTCTTCGTCAAGGAGTACTGAGGTCTGGTCATTAACGTGTTTGACTTCGACCCAGTAACGGGCTTTGTCCAGGATATCGAGAACGAGTTCATTTGGGAGACCTAGGCGGTAATGGAGGAGGGCACGGGTGCGATGAACATCACGACGGCGGGGCGCGAAGGGCATCATAGGGCTTTATTAATTGGCGCTTTCGGTCGGTCGCAGCGCAGTGCGATTAAGGTTGAGAGAGTAAAGAGGGTCGCGTTGGCATGTGTGCGAGGGCACCCAATGGCAGATGGGCTAGTCGAGAAACCGGTTTAGTGTCGCCCGCAAATTTGCCCCGACGAACCGAGAGTTACCACACGGATCGGCATGCATAACGGTTGTCATTCGGCCCTGCTGCCCTTGTTTAGCTGGATTCTTATTTGGACTTCAAAGGAGCAAGTTGAAGGTGGAAGTTTGTTGGTACTACATATTCGCCAGTTCTTGTGGTCGCCATGCTGCGCGTAAGGGAGCTTCGGTGACTCACCGGAAGAATCGCATGGACCACGTTACAACGCACCATCTCCGAAACACATCGGATTGTATGCTTCCTTTCTTATACGCCAAGTGACCATACACCATATGTAACGTGTCGTGAAATACATTGCGCCAGCCTTGGCCGAGTCGGCAGACGCGACAACGTAACAAGTCAGGGATTGATCCGGCGTCTCCTGCAGTCCTTATGCAGATCATCATAACAAAGCCAAAGGATACTCACTTGGATGCGCAAAACATTCCCATCATACGCAAATTAGCGGAGAGGCTTCCAAGTGTTTTCGATTCCTCCCAGAGGCATTTCTACGTGATTGTGTTTTCCAAATTCATCCATTCCAACCCATTTTTCGATCTTCGCAAAGCATGATGATCAGCATGCTTCGTGTATTTCACGAAGATAGAGGGTACAGACTATCCTGAAAGTCGTTTTAATTGGGCTATATCTTCCAATGCCACTAAGGGTTCAATCGAAATTCTGCGTCTCTGCATACGTAAGATTGTTTCGTGCTCGCGAGAATGTATCACTAGTCAAGCTCGCCCAGTCGAAGAACACGATATTCACCGCGGTGGCGAACACGACGCTGTACATAGACGGTGGTTCAATCGCTGAAGTCAAGGTTGCAAAGGTGGATCAGATCCGTAGAGGGAGGTCATCGAAGATGGTATCGACTTGAGGAAATCGACCGTGAAATGATTTGCCGGCGGCATAGCAAATTTGAGAAGGCTTCGTTGTTTCGTGAGAGACGAGGAGTACCTGAACGGTGTCGTAATTTGGGTTTGGCAGGGTCGGTGCGTCAGCTGCGTCAAACTGTTGATAACTCAGAAATCTCCGAAATCTCCAAAGTCCCCAAAGTCCCCAAAGTCCCCAAAATCTCCACAACATAGCACCCAGAGAGGACGCGTGAATAACTCCTTGTTTCAGATACGACAGGAACATCAGCATGCTCTCGACCACATCGTCGGCTTCGACTTCTTCTCTTGCGTCGATCCCGCATACCCATACGCCTTCATCACCACAACCTCATCTCTTATGCGACTATTCCAGCAGTCGCGGCGCTTCCTATTGCGTAGGCAGATACTCTCGTGCTTTCACGGGCTTTCATTGCCATCGATCAGCTCCGCCTCGTTCCGATTCCACTTCCCTCAACCCGGCGCCATTGTGAATCCAAGAAGCGTCCGACAAAATGGCTGCAATTTCCAGGAGCAACTTTCGCAGTATAGAATCTCCCATAGATAAATCACTAACACCTTCCCAGTCTTTCAATCACGCTTCCTCCCATCATTGAATCGACAAAGACAACTCAACCGACCCCCGCAAACGATCGTCATACCAACCTCCATTGAGATGTCGCAGAACGAGACGAATGAAGCTATACGAAAACGATGGGAAACCATGAAGCGCAAGGAGAAGAAGATGATACGACTCTGCGACGATATCCAGGTCAAGACTCTGGCCTACTACGATAACGGCAAACACCTGGATGACGAGCGTGCCTTCCTCGAGACGTGTGGACGTAGCTTGCACAACCAAACTCGTATACAAGATGCTTGGGACGAAGCTGCACGTATCTTTGGGGATCGAGATCCCTGAATCCTCCAGTACTTGCTGCGGAAAGAATAGCGACTTACTGACTCTCTATAACAGGAAGCCTGGTTGGCATTCGCATCGGACAATTACGAAAAACTTGTAGGGCAGGTTGACAAGCTCAAGAAAATTACCACTGTTCGCAAGAAGCTCCAAGAGCAGCTGGGTATCGCTCCCACGGAAGATGGATACTTTGCTTATGGAAAAGTCGCTGACACGCACCGTGGTGATGGCGCGCAGAAGTACGTGAACTTTGTGCTCCTCGATCACGAGCTCGACTCGACAACCAGCGTTCGACACTACATAGCAGAAAACATGGGAGGATCTTCGCTGCTTACGAATGAGGAGTGGCGGCCGCAGGTGTGGTCCGCAAGGTCTGACTGATAGGTACCAGGAAGGCCTCTGTCATACAGCGGCAAGCACCCTGACCCTACCTCGTGCTTTCTCTTTTCACTGGCTTAAGGGCAGCACATTCGGGCCCGCCCTGTTAGTATCGGGTGACGAGAGAACGAAGCAAGACTAGTTCATGGATAAAAAGGAGTGGCAAATCCTACCTTTGCAAGCATATGTACATAGCCGGGTTTGAGGAATGTGAGGTGTACGTGCCGCTATCGTGTATCCTGAGCCTTCCGTGATGTTTGTGCATTCATATCTTGCAATCTATGAGACATCCGCGGTCTGCTGGGGCAGCTACAGTGCCGACGAGATATAGACGTGACGCTGCTGAGCCTGAGAAAGCAGGTATCACGGCCTCGAGTCGTGTGACGCTTTTAAGACGTTAATTATCATATGGCAGTAGCGCTGTCCGAAGTGAGCGGATTGCAAGATATCAATACCGCACTTGGAGGATCACAACCTGCCGGTTCGTCGCAGCCTACAGCCACCCAATCTTGAACTCTAAAGTTAGCATGTTGCATCAAAGCCAAATTGCTTCATGTATCATCTAGAGCTCACGAGAGGGTGATCGTCGCAAATGTGGCTTGCACTCAAGCAACGTAGCCGGCCCAGCTACGTCTCTTCTTGGGCCAACCCGTTGTAGCAGAAGGGGACAGTCTGGACAAATTACCTGCACTGATGACTGCGCGGCAGTGGCGGAAACAACTGAGGCGTACGGGGGTGCTACAGCGAGCCTGCTTCCATACAAAAGCATGGAAAGAATTCTACGCAAGCACAGAGGCGTACACCTACCTTGGCACCTCTGCACCAGCGTGATGCCCTGTTTAGATCTCTCGGACAGAGAAAATGCAAATGCGAATGCCTATGCATCTTATCCAGAGACATATGGTTTGATAGAGTGCCGAAGAAAACAGCAAAAAGATGGTATTGCTTTCAACCATGGGACTTCAACCCGCCTGGGACTCGAACCCAGCCCCGAAGGGGATGTGCATCCTAGAAGATACAATTGTTAGCACTGTTTAAAGATAGTTCGGTGGCTGCCGACCGCCACCCCGCCGCCGTACCCCTGCGCCCAGGGGTCTAGGCGAAAGTTTGATGAATTAGAGCGTATATATAGCCAAAGGATTTGGGGGTTGCCTGGTGAGCCTTTGTTGATCTTGGAAGCGCGAAGGGGGACGTTTCTGTGCGGGGATAACGCGGGGTGAGGCGGCGGTAACGAGTGCAGAGACTCCTTCACGTCATCTATGGCGACGAGGAGGTCAGGGCCTGCTGATAGGGTAGAGTTTCATCAAAACGTCAAATCTTGCTTGCTGGGTCGGACAGATCCCCTGGGCTTGACGTTAATGGTTTGCAACATATGCAACATTTGAGACCATGTGCATGGCTGACCACGATATGCAAGCTTACGACTGCAGAGGCGAACTTGTATATACGTCACATATCTTCTGACGTGGTTTGCAATTGTTCTCATGCGGCAGCGTGGCTCGACATGGCTGAAGGATAGCATCTGGTGTCCGCAGTCTGTCGCTCACATTCATGACCCGTGGCGATTGTCCCTCTCGCAACGCGAACTGAATCTCGTTGACATTATGACGGTGACGTTAAGCAAACATGTTTGAAACTTGCAGAGGCTTGGGACTCGCAATCGTATTCCACACTTCGGCCGCTACCTAGACCGACATGAGATGGAGATTCAATGAGGGCAGCGCCCGTGGCGGTGTCTTGATGCACTTTATCTAACTCGGATCGAAGTCGTCGCGTGCTTGTTTTTGCCAGGGTTCACAGATACTGAAGGTGAAGAATAGCGATCCGTAGCACCGCTTGACCCTATCTCCGTAGTCCTCGGCTTCGAGACTCCTTGACATGCTGTGAGGTGTACCTTCTAATAGCTAGTGTATGTTCATAATTGTGATTCGATGGCTAGGGTCCGATCTTGCTGAGCTATATCTTCGGAACTGTATGGTATAAATGATGCATGCATCGGAAGAGCATATCATCTTGGAATTGCGTATTGGTATTGTGATACTGGCCAAGACAGATTCTGCCGGCTTCCAAGCAAGAACGCATATCGAAAAGGCCGGATGTTGATCTTAGAGACTTCGACGAAGTGCAAATCGTACTATCGCCAACAAAGGGTTGACGGGTTATCCGTTTTGAACGCACGTGCCTCTCGTGAGATTCATTGGTGTTGTACCTTGGCTGATATCGCGCAACAGCGCTTCAAAGGGAGAGCATTACTCACCCTGGGACTGCATGATATGCGTCGGTCCAGTAGAACTGATGAGAGACCTACTGGTAAGGCCGTTAAAGTGATACGTGCAAGACGCACGTCAATCATAGAAATCTGTCGTGACATGTTCCCACGATGTTGAACAACCGGTAGCGGACTTGTAAGAGTTTGCAGCAAGCGCATTTGGCGAGCACGCGTCCTCCCAGAGTACCGCTGACCAGCCAACCCCTGTCATGGCTGTTTACCTCAGGTGTCGCTAGCGGGTATCGTTGCATATTGTCGGAATTCCCAATGAAAGCACGCAACGATGCATTGAATGCCAACAAAGGATCTCGAAATCGGAGAAGTGCATATCGGAAGCATTCAGAAGCTTGTAGACATAGTGAAGCTTCGTTATCCAGCAGAATCAAGCGGATTGCATCTGAGCTGTCGCGAATAATGGATAGGTTCGCGCACGATTCATGACTGCTGTCACCCAGTGGCAGTAAGCTGACTCCGGATATTGTGCTGACACCAATGCACAAGTCGCCCTGATGTCTGTAGTTTGGCGCTGTGCTCCCACCATATCTAGCGATGCTTGCTAGCTGACAAGCGACATAAATGGATGAAATGGAGCATCATCTTTGAGGACCCGCATCTTGGAGAGAGAATTTCATAGCCAGACTCTCTCCGAGCCTGGCAACAAGAGGCGTTTATGTCCAAATCAACTTCGGCTGTTACATTACAGCATTGGTATTCCATAATGATGGTCGTCCAGACTTTGCTAACAAATATAGCCATTTCAGCAACCACGCAAGCCAACTGAAATAGTTGCTTTGTTGCACGCTTTCGCATACAATGTCTCCGTGGTGAACGCATTGCAGAGATTTTGTCGCCAACAAGTAGGCGTTAAAGCATCGCAACCATACTGGCATCTTTCTATAGTGGTTGCTGAGCAGTCCGAATTGCGATGATGCTGAGAAGCCTGCTTACAGCCATGCGATCCACGCCTGCACCACATACCAGTTTGGCCTCTTTGGAAAAGGTTGACAAGCAGACATGCATACGGAAGAGATGACCTGCAAATCTATACTCTTGTGCGGGAGACTCCGCCGTTTTGGTATGCTTTTTCTAGGTGAAGTATGCCAGGTGGGCGATGAAAAGAAAGGCAAAAAAACCTGACTACCTCAATGGTAGTCATTGCTCCATCAATGGAGAATCGAATTACCAATAAAACTGTTTGTTGTCAGCCTGTGGTACGAACCCCAACCATGAGCCCAATAACACGAACTCATGTCGCACAGGGTCATAGCACCACCGAAAGAACTGCAATTCTTGTAGGTATATATAGCCACTGAATCTCGATTTCGGAGAGTCTGGTAGATGATTTTGGCAACAATCATTCCAGCAGCATCGTGGGGGCGTGAGGTGAGCGGAGCGACGACAGTGTCTCTATGTAGGCACCTTGCGTGACCAATGAGAAAACCATCAGCGAGCACTTCATCGTCTCACATCATCCCCTGGCACAGTCGTTATCGCTCATTGGGGATGCTGTGATGGACCTTCTGGAAGGGGGCCTGCGAGGCATAACCTCCACGTCGGCATTACAATTTGCGACCCGACACACGTTTCCCTTACAAAAGGTTCTGCAGTATCTCAGTCTTGGATATGGCCTGTCCATTCAAGCTGCAGCTTCGTAAAAGTATCTCGAATGGCGTTCGGTAAAGAAGCTACATCAGCTAGCGGCACTTGAGATCCTTCAACATTCGTATAACAGCGAAACACCAGCGCCATACTATGCTTATCTGGAGAGCGCAAGACTGGTACCATACGCCATATTGCAGCTCTGGCTGTAGTGGGAAGATAGAGCTTTCTCATGTTTGCATGGGTACTGCAAGCGCACAAACTCCAGGGGCAGTCTTCAACCTCTGACATCACTGTCTTTGTAATGTGCGCATAGAAAAGTATGATGCATAGAGAACCAAACGCGCAGCTGCCGTTGTTGTGGCGCTCGCATCCTGATTCTCACGTCCACGAAGAGCGAGTCTTGTTGACCCCCGCGGTGCACACGCCCCATTCTCTCGGCCACCTCAACACCAGCTACTACCACGACGTGACAGCAGTGCTATGCGAAGATAGGCGTCTACCATGGACGATACGAAGGTGGGACGAACGACAGCCGTTTTCCGTTGGACTGACATCGTCGCGATACCTGTAACTGTCGAAGAATACCCAAGACATCCGCGAAGACCTTATCACCGCGGTCAACCCCACCGCGACGGCAATCTTTGCTGGCTTGTCCGCACATAGAACATTTGAAGAAAAGCACTTCTATGATGCGCTGCCTCATCGCGACAGTAGAACTGTACGCAAGCGACATCGATAGAGTGTGTCGCCCCGCCAGGCGCTCCCCAAACGTATCGTACATCCGACGCAGCGACCTGCGAAAGACAGCACAAGAGAAGAGAGCAGAGAGGACACCAGGGCATACGATTACGCAGACTGCCTGCAGCATGTCTATAGCATGCAGCAGGCGATCGTGTCATCTCGGCCTTCTTCTTCCCTGGGGCAGGCGCAAAGGCGAAGGTCAAATATCGACATGCAGACTCGCAACCGACGACCAGTGGCGCGACATGAGCTTCTCACGACTCGATGACACCTATGACGAACGTATGCCACGGCTGCCTGAGGTCTAATCGCACTTAAACCAACCTCACGAACCGCTGCGCATGCAGTCGCGGGCGCCAAACGAGCACGATACGGGCAATCGAACGCGACC